GGGATCTCCCAACCGTCGATCTCATCGGGATGCGTACACGGCTCTGCGTATAAGTATTCACGCACTGCATCTTTTTTCCTGTCTGAAACGCCGTTTCGCCCTGTTTTCATTTAGTGAAATAGAATAATGCTATCCCGCGCCATATTCAAACACCAACTTTGAGCCTGAGGAAGAAAGATCGCATTCAGAGTATCTTCGCACCAAATTTTATCCAGTGTTTTTTTATACTTTTCCATATTTTCTAATTTCTCGCAACAACTGGCAGCCTAATTACTTGCACTGCAGTTATATCGGTGACGTTTCCAGGATTCTTTCTGACAATCTTTAGAACTGTGAATTTGAAAATACGATGAATTCGGTTGGATATTGGAGTTTTGACGAACAATGCCTTGAAATACAATGTCTGATGTACTAACGTCCGCGTTCTGGCTGAGGGGGTCGAAATTAGAAGAGCAACGGCTGCAATGGGTACTGTTTAAACACACTTTCACGCCAAAACCGACCTGGCACCTTCCCATGATTGATGCCTCCGCTGGCAAAACAGGGAGCAATAGTCCTAAAACATAGCAAATTCAGAATACGCAAATCCTGCAAAAGTACAATCTGGACAATAGCTCATATACCCGTACTCAGATGACATGCGTTGGTTGCAAAGAAACATGCCTTAAAAACAAATGTATTAAATCTATTGCATACCAGTAGTAAACCTTCTTGCATCGTGCACATCTCAGCGTACCAGTATTGCTGCAGTAGTTGTTAGCGCAATGTATCTTTGTAGTCTTAGATTTATCTGGATATGCGTATAAGAGTGGTGTGAATATCAATGCAAACCCCAAAGAGAATAAATCTGTATTCGCCTTCTAGATCTCTGAGACTCGTGAGTCACCGTATTATCCCTGAATCATCTACAAATTTGAAGTAAACAATATCGCCCCTTATTGTAGAGTCCGAGAATCGCATCGCCAAAGCGAAACATGTGTTCTTCCCTGTGTGAAGGACTTGCATGCGACATACTCGCCAGTGAGTAGCGGCGCATTGCAATGCCATATGACATTACTTGGACTTCAAAAATCACAAAACACACCATATACACTTGCATTCGATACATGTGGGTACTTACTTGAGGTGAATTTCTGTGCTGCTTGAACCCACGAAGCCTCGGGCATCAGGTCATTTAGCACGAAGTCCATTCTGCCGAACTTGTCTTCCACACCATTCTCGTACAGCTTAGCAAAGAACACATCTCCTCTTAATTCGAGCTTTTGCATCGCAGAGAATGCGACGGCCTATTGAGATTGATTCAAAATCAAGATCGAATGGTGGTTAGCACCTCTGCACTTGAAGGCGCCATATATAGGCGAGTGTGTGGCGCTGGATTTATTTATGCAAATTTGCCATCCTCCGTAGCTACACTCTGAGCCGTGGGGGGAGAGCCGTTAAATCTGACAGGAACTTCTCACAAATGAATATAGATTCATGTGCAGGTCGAACTATAAATTAGGATTGAAAAACGTGACATTGACCGCAATACTGTCCGCTGAAACTCGTGTTAAGCAGACGATTGTGTTGAGCTATGTCTCATACTACGTCCGACAAGTAATCTGAGTGACCGTTTACAGGAGTACACATGTAAGTTCGTGGTTGATGACATGAGTGCAATTCAAAAGCACCATTCTCAGGCCCATACCTGCGCTCGACGGTTGATAGGCAACTGCTTCGCTACGCTCTTGTCGTCAACATAGGCACAGATCATCTCTGTAGTGTATAAAAAGATTTCAATTCAAAATTATCTACGTAAAAGACCATCGCGGCGCCATATATTGCCATGAGTGCCTGCTTCGGCCACTACAACCCTCCACATACATATACAATATAAAATATCATTTCAGCATCCAAAGGAACTACTTTCGGCGTACGTAGTCACGTACGCAATGATCACCAGCATGTTCCAGCAAACTTGTGTTCAACGACATGCATTCGACATGCAATTTGTGTATCATAACAGCCTTGACCCGCACATACAACAGTGATACATCACAAACACCACTAGACTAACCGTAGTCATTCTCGGCGTTTGGCGTCAGCAACGTGCATATGTCCACAGTTTGCATATTAGTAAGCTGGTCCATTAACTCGTCTGTGATCTTTGGACCGGGCGGGCCACCCTTTTCTGCGCGCTCTGCCAACTTCTCTTCCATCTGCTTTTTGAAAGCCTCACGCTCGGCAGCGCTGTCGGCAGCACCCTTTCGCTCGCGATAGTAGTTCTGCGGGTAAGCCGAGAGCGCAAAGAAAGATTCAGAAAAAGAAAAGGACGTCCTATTGCTTTAATGAAATAAAGCAAAATAGGGCAAGCTTTCGAAGAGGACTATTTTAATAGATACTATATACATGCCTGCGAAACGATATATATACATAACGATTGAGTGTGTCCTTAATCCTAACAGTTCATTTGCCTCTGTCAATACTTCAATCCACTTAATGGCATTTTAATATATACATATGAGTGCATACATATACGTATGCAG